ATAAATAAACCCAAATCCTTCCAAAACACAAGTAATGAGCACACACACAAATAATCTATATATAAATATAGAATCTGCCAATAAATATCAAATACCTTAAAAGCACACAGACTTAGACATTGAGGATGTTAAGGCATCAGATGAGCCCCAGGAGTTCCCCCAAACACTTCACACACAGTTAGAGAGAGAGAGAGAGAGATCTAGTGCGAGAAGTGTTTGAAGGGAACTCTAGAGGTCTTCTGATATGATATTCAATCTGGAAATATTAATTAATTAATTAATTTCCCACAGTTGTTTCTTTCTTCTTCGTCTTCTTCTTGCTGCTATTTATAGGGTTTTCTTCTCTCTCTCTCTCTCTATGGAGCTTTGTGGCAAATTAAAAGCCATTGGATGCAGGCAGGCAGAATTCTTCGATTGTGTATGAACCTGGACGTCTTTTTGGGAGAGATTAGTTAAAGATGCACAAGAAGAATCATATTCACTTCAGTGCTCTTTAAATCGCGAACCCCTTCTGCCTTTCTTTCTTTCTTCTTTCTTTTAATATATATTTCTCATTTTTCATTTTTTTTATTTTTTTTAATTGCTTTTTATTTTGAGGGAAACCTAATGTATATAACATCTATTTACATATATAATCGAAAAATCTTTACTGGCTGATTGCATATGACCTATATATAAATCCCCAAACCCTTAATTTAAATTTTGTAATGCCTAAATTAAAGACAGCGCGCAGCAAATGTTGGGATGAGTTATTTAATTACAGCAGACAATTGAATTTGTAGAATTTGTGGTGATATTCATTAATGGTGGATAACAATTATTCTTGAAATGAATCATTAATTAGTTTAAAAAGAGAATTTGCAGGAAAAAAAAAAAGAACATAACCTACTCAGTTCAACAAAATCATTTCCTATATTTTATTCTTGACAGTAATTGGTGTTTAATTCTTAACACGAAGACTACTACCCATAATCATGCTTTATTGAATTCAATATTTTAACATATATTTCATCAAAAGGTGGTTTGGAATTATGATCTCTCTCTCTCTCTCTCTCTCTCTCTCTCTCTCTCTCTCTCTCTCTCTCTCTCTCTCTCGCTCGCTCTCTCTCTCTCTATATATATATATATATAGTTGTGGTACCACTACATCTGAGAATTATATATGCTACTTAGAAATGGTGCATTGATCATATTAATTTGGGCCAAATGTGATAATTCTATATGGCATTATAGTTTCTTCAATATATATAATTTGGATGGATAACAAAACCCTATAATGGTCATCAATTACGAATGGTAGCTGTCTAGGAATTCAGTTTAATTAATTAGTCAATTGTGTGACAAGTGTTTGGGGGAACTCATGAGCTAGCTCATCACATGCTTTACATATATATATATATATATGTGTGTATGTGTCATGTGTGTGTGTGTGTGTTGTAACAAGTATTTTGTCAAATTATTTGGAGGTTTCTAAATATATTTATACTCATTGCTTGAGTAAATAAACACTATTGGGAAATATACTCACGACTTGTGGGCTATTAAATAGTTTGGACTTACTACTTGAATTTAATAATTCGATCTTTGGGATGTACAAACTCATTTTGCAATATATAGTAGCCAATTGTTTCGGAATTATGCATGGGGGTATACTTCATTTTTGTTGATTATATGTGGGGGATTACTTTGTCGATGTGGGTTCAAGTTATTTATTTTGAAAAAGTGCTTTCCTATCTTACTTTATAATTCTTGTTATATATGATGATTTCTTGATTCAGAATATGATCTATTGTATCATTAACATACTCTTCTTATGAGAATGAAATTATGTTGATCACCAATTAAATTGTTTTGTGAGCTTTTGGTTCTATGTTGAGCTGCATAATCAATATATACATCAAATATACCCCCTCTCTTTCTTTTATTTCTTTTTTTTTTTAAAAAAAAAAATATTCTATGTGGAATTATGTTAAACTTAAAATTGTAGAACTTGTTCTCTCTAATGCTGCATGGTAAAATTACTTTTTGTAGAATTTTGATGCGAATAAAAATAATGACATTAGATTAACCCTTGGCCTTGACTTTAAACTTTTTTTTCAAAATTATTCGTTAGTAAACCGTGATTGAGATTGACAATTTATTTTCTTGATTATGATGAACCCTTAATTAGTAGATAACCTTATTTATTTATTTTTTTTTAAAAAAAGATCTTTTTGAAGCCTTGGTAATCTAGGAGTTGATATATGCTCCATTATATGAGTTGTTTTCGTTGCACTAAGGAATAAATTTGAGAGATGTTGATTGATGCATGAGTTGGCAAAATAATAGAAAGATTGCCCTAGAAAGTTCTTGGTCAAAAAAAAAAAAAATCAAATCAAAGGTGCGAAGCTGAGGAATTTTATTGTTTTTTAAATAACTAAAATAATTGAGGAAATAAAAGTGAATGAAGTAATGAAAATAAGCGTGAAGAAAAAAAAAATAGTGTATTAAAAAAAATATAATGGTTTTAAAAAGAGAGAAAGATTAAAATGCTATGTGGTGAATATATTAAAATAGAGTAAAGGAGTATATATCAATGTTGGAATGTAAAAGGTGCATGCAACTTGTTTGGTTTTGATTATATGATCATTCCAAGTATAGTGTTTTTTTAAATTTCATTAACCTTTTGTATCTTTATCTACCCATACCACGATCCTATTATAATTGTAAATTAAGATACTTAGATTTAGAAAACCAAAAATTTCAATTTTAGTGAGCAAACCTACGAGATTATTCTTGTCTTAAAATGCATAAATACTTGAGAGTAAGAGTATTTCATATATTTTGTTTGATTGTATGCACTGAGGACAAGTATAGTCTAGATGTTTAAAAAAATCATGAGTGTTATGAGATTTGATTCAATAACACATAGTTTGATATTGATAAGTATTTTTGTAATTTTTTTATTTCAATGTTAATTAAATTTTTTTATTAATTTATATGATTATTTCAACTTGATATTTCAATTTAATTAAAGTTTAATTGTCAAGTTCAAATTGGTGTCCGTAATTGCGCTTTACTATGAAATAGCCAATTTTAAAAATCATATAATCAATTTAAACAATTATGTATAGATGATAATTTAATTAAATTAAGTTTTTTTAGTTCGGAATGGTCACAGTAGTTCTAGTTCAATTATAAAAACAATTAACAAGCATATTTTGACTATCAAATCAGTAAAGAAAAATAAGTTATTTGACATGAGTCGATAGTTATAACTAATGTATTTATAAATCGAAATTGTTAATTTCGCTTTTATTCTAGAAGCCAAAAATATTCCACAACTCTTATTTTAACTGGTAAAGAAAAACATATTATTTGGTGGTCGATAGTCATAACTAATTTATTTATAAATTAAAATTGTGAAGTTCGTTTATATACTAGAAGCCAAAAAATTTTCCACAACTCTTATTTTAAATATATGTTGCTATATAATCGAATATATATATATATATGTATAATTATACTTTATTTTAAGTATCAATACCAAATAGTTTTTTATAAAAGTGGATTATGTATTGAATTTCGTTCAAAAGTGTATTGCTTAAATATTAATATGGTGTTGAATTATAATGTGAGTTTTTTTTTACTCATTATCATCCTCAAGATAATTGAATTATAATGTAAGTTTATTTAAGTATATTTAAATTGTGTAAATACTTAAAACTCCATATAAATAAAATTTATGGAGTTATGGAATTTTGAAAAACAAAAAATTAATAAAAATTAGATAGTTAATGCAATATTTTGTTAAAGACATTATATGTATTTGATGTGAATGACATTTTTTTTTTAAAAAAAAATATTGATATATAGTGTTAAAGCTTTCAAAAGTATATATGTAAACAAAACTTATATATTGAACATTGGAATATTATTGAACCATAACATTAATATGTAGAATTATACAAGAAGCATAATATAAAATATTGAATGTAACTTTTATATGTTGAATAATAAATAAATCTTAGAAGCTTACATACAAAGTCTATTGTTCAATAATACAATTTATCATTTGTTATCGATGAAAATTACTCCTTTGGACCGATCGAAAGGCGAACTATATAGGCTTTCTGGACAATTAAATAAAAATTTGAATTTTGTCTTGCGTGTAATAAATCAAATGTGCTAAGGCCCCTAAAATCCCTAAAATTTACGGGACAAAAATTTTGGACTTCTATCTTCAATTCCCCTTAAAACTTTGCACAATCTCATGATAGTCCCTTTGGAGACTTCTTTTGTCCAACCCAGACTTCGTTTAGACACGAAACTTTTGAGAGTTTGAAGTTTTAAAATTTTAAAAATAGTAGTAAAAAATAATATTTAATATGATATTTTACGAGAGAAAAAATAAATATCTTTTAAAAATTTAATGTATCAAAATATGTAAAATTATTGTGTAAACAGCGCCTAATAATTGCTTTATAATCACAAAATATACATGGAAGATGTCCTAATTATAATCACTAAATATTTTTCACATTGTACAAGTGGCTGGCGGTGGTTTCCGGCAAAGGCATTAGGCATCAATGGCTGGCCGAGGTGGTTGAGATTTATATCTTATGCTAGGCAACAATGTATGTCGATGTATCTTTAACTTTATTTTACAGTACTTTAGCATTTAATCATATATATATTATAGGTAAAGTCTATTGTTATTTTGAATTATATATATATAGATAAAGTCACTGCTAAGATTTAAATATGTATTGAATATGGTTTTTGAGTAGAAAATATGTATCTTTTATATATAATATTGAGTGTATACTAATTGAAAAAAAAAAAATTAAAATAAATATTAAAACATAAATAAATTGAACCCAAATTAAAGAATCTGGAAATAAATATAAAATACATAAAAAGACAGACAGACTTAAACATTGATGATGTTAAGGCATCAGGTGAGCCCAGGAGTTCCCCCAAACACTTCACACACACACACAGTTAGAGAGAGAGAGAGAGAGAGATCTAGTGCGAGAAGTGCTTGAAGGGAACTCTAGAGGTCCTCTGATATGATATATATTCAATTGGGAAATATTAATTAATTAAATAATTAATTTCCCACACCTCGTCTTCTTCTTCTTCTTCTTGCTGCTATTTATAGGGTTTTCTTCTCTCTCTCTCTCTCTCTATGGAGCTTTGTGGCAAATTAAAAGGCATTGGGTGCTGGGAGGCAGAATTCTTCAATTGTGTATGAACCTGGACGTCTCTGTGGGTAAGATTAATTAAAGATGTATCTACAAGCAGAATCATATTCACTTCAGTGGCCTTTCGCGAACCCCCTGTGGCTTTCTTTCTTTGAATATATATTTCTTGTTTTCATTTTATTATTGCTTGAGGGCAAATTACAGATTACATGATGATTTAGATATATAAATCTTCAAACCCTTTATTTGAAGTTTGTCTAAATATTGGAGGGACTTAATTATAACAATGATTCTTGAAATGAGTCATTAATTAGTTTTAAAAGAGAATAGTGTAGAAATTAGAAAAAAAAAAAAAGAAGAATAAAACATAGATAAATAAATAAGAACATAACCTATATTTTATTTTTGACAGTAAGTAATTAGTGTTTAATTCTGAACACGAAGACTACTAATTAATAATCATGTTTCTATCAAATTCAATATATATATATATATATATGTATATATGTGTGTTCCAGTTCTTAATAAGTAAATAATTAATTAAACTGATAGAATCCAGCATTTATCTTCTGCTTCTGCAAATATGACAATATCGAGTTTCTTTTCAGATGAATTGAAGCAAGGCAAACCCTCCCCACTTCCCACAATGGCGTCCACATACATCCATCCCTGCAGAGGTATTCCTTTTCCTCTCACACGATGAAATTTACTGCTCTGCAGCTTTCTATCGACCTGTCGTGAAACAAAGATTTAGAAACTAAAGAAAACAATCGAAAAAGATTTAAGAAAATTTAGTTAAAACACAAATTTTATAATTCGAATAAGGCACAATTTAAAATAGTAGATTTTGAAAAAAAAAAAAAAAAAAAATTGATTAAAAAACACACTCAATCATATAAATACAAATAATTACGAGTGTGGGAATGGGGTGGGATTGCGGTATGAATTTTTGTTACATTGTCAATTTATATATTGTATTTATATTTTATTAATATAAATTAAAATAAATGCTTGAAAATAGCAACAATAAAAGGAAACAAACAATTGACTAGGACTTTCTTCTATTTTTCTTTTTGTTATTGTCAACAATTGATTTATATGTTATGTATTACTATATTATTTTTATTTTTTCTTTTATCTGAGTGGAATTTTACTGTTACTATATTTTTCAGGTGCGCTGCTCAAAGTAAAGTTTCAGTTGAACTTAATGGTCTGTAAATTAGGCTCAATATATATTATGTATTATTCTCTATGTTTCACATATCATGTTCACGTTACTGTTTCTATCCGTCTCACATTTCATGTCACTTTTCTTTTTTGGAAAATCATTACGCACTTTAATCTCATTTTAAATTTTTTAATTTATTTTTTTCTTAATTTTAATTAAACTAATTAATTATTTTAATCTTAATTTATAATTATTTATATTATAGGATAATTATTTTTACTAATACATTCTTAATTATCTACTAATTACACCCCTTCTAAAATACCGTGTCTACAGTGTAGCAGACTCGGTACGTGGGACGGATGTCGTATTTTGTTAATATTAATGTGTTTTTAGTATCATGTTGAATAATTTTATTTAGCACACAAACAATGTTCATTGATGATGTGATATTTTAGATTAAAATATATATGTCCTAAAAAAAAAGGATTTGTTCCTTCATTGTTTTCTTGGAATTTGGATTGTAATTTAAATAATAATTTGATATAATATATTGTTAAAAATAAAATACTTATTCCGTCTACTCAGAAAATATATATTTATTCTTGCACCGAGTTTAATAAATATTATAATTTAATGATAGTTTGTGATAATTTTTATAGGTAAAGACTATTTTAACTACGATGTGTAAAATTAATACGATAATATTGATGTAAATAAGTATAAATATAAAAGTATTTGTAATGTGTAGTGATGTCCATACAAGCTAAAATAAATAAATATTATGATTGGACAACCAAAATAAATATATATATATACTCATCAAGTGGACGAAAAAAGTATATAATGTGTACTTGTGTCCATACAAACTAACAAAATTAAATTGTATGTTTGGACATCCAAAATAAAAAATATATATATACTTACCAAATGACAAAAAAAATATATTTTTATTAAAAAATAAGAGACTGGATAGTGAAAAACAAAACAAACCAAAACAAAAGGAAAAAAAACGTCTAGGAGAATATTTGCTTAATATTTATAATTTTATTATATAGTGCGAGAAATTGTAAGAATATTATATATAATAATATTTTATATATTTTATTAATTTTTATTTTATGTGTATATAAACAGTAGCAAACACATTGAAAAGATAATTCAGCACGTAATTTATTTGACTTTTAACATGACTTTATATATGATCACTTGAACAAACTTTTGAAAATATTAGGTTTGATTACTTCGCCTGTTTTTTATGTTAAATATAAAAATTTAGAAATTAATAAAAATAATACTTTATATTAAATGTTGATTTTTTATAAGTAAATAAAATATTATATATATATATATGAAATGTGAAAATAATATATTTTTAGATAATATTTATGGGCAACTATGCCACCTAAAAAAATGTTGAATAAACCAATTTTGTCCTCTAAATGAGCTATATATTTTTGACCTTTGGAAATTGTACTTAAAGAAAATAATATTTTTTTTCGTCTGTCAAAGCCTCGGTCACCATGGCTATTTTTGTAGATTCAAATTGATTATTCAATTACTATAAATAGTCATGCATAAATTTATTTTAATTTTTATAATATTATTACACAAATAATTTGTTTTGCTTAAATTAAAATATACTTTCAGAGGAATAAAAAAGACTTTTATCAATAATTTGTATTTTACTATCAATATAATGTTAATATATTTTTAAATTTTGTACCATAAAATTATATTTTAATTTATATGAGACCAAAAAAATAATATGCATATAATTACCAAGTAAACACTCCCACCATGTATATATGTTTACTTGGGATTTTTTTTATTACTCAAATTCTGTATTTTTAATTGATAATATGTTTTTTAAAAATATGTTTATTTTTTTGTCTGTTTCTTAAAACTATTCATATATTTTTATTTAGTAAAAAAAAAAATCATCTTACTTCTATACTTTTTTATCATAAAAAGTAAAAGGTAATTAAAAAAAAAAAACACTTTATTAAAATATGTGTCCAAAAATAAGAGCACAAATTTTAGAGACCGAGTGAGTAATAATTAACCACTAAGTTATTTCATAAACATAAAAAAGAATAATAATAATAATAAAATTTAAATTTAAAAAAATTAAAAAAAAATAAAAAATACATAGCATATATATTGTAATATATATATATATATTAGTAAAACTTAATTACAATTGTTACTATATATACTGTAAAACTAGGAAACAATTCATGTACATCCAAGAATAAAAATGAATTCTATTTTAGCTTAAATACATTGCGGAATTTCAATATCAAAATCAAAGATCAGAAAGTAGTTTCGCCAAAGACAAAAATTATAATCATACGTGACGTAAAGAAATTCGACTAATTTTTCATCTATATTAATATATAATTTTCCCAAAATATATAGACCACATTTTAAAGCAGTAACAATCTATGTTTGACTGATTGAAAATAGATGATTAAATAAATGAGATCATAGATTGGTTCACTTATTAAACTTTATTCGAACATCACTTAATCTCACTTGATGTTTTCCATTTTAATTTGAATCCCTAATTATTTTCCAAATATTCAATTTTAAAATTCAAAAAAAAAAAAAAAAAAAAAACCCACAAAATGAACACTTTCTAAAATTCTATACTGCAACTTGTAGTTGAAAATAATAATAATAATAATAATAACAACGTTGAAGTTGAATACTATTTATTAAATTATTAAGTGGAGGTTTGGCATCCTATTTTACTCAATTTTCTTGGTTGTGGACTTGCAAGAGTTTCTTTGAATTGTTAATATAATAATTTAAATAATTATTAATAAAAAATAGAAAATGTAAATCTTTTTCAATTGATGTAGTATAAATTATTTATTGACGCTATATTTTAAATTTTAAATGAAAATAATAATAATAATAATATATAATATAATATTTCTTTGTGGGCAAGGACAAAAATTAATAAATAGTGGGAATACTTGAACAAAACTCATACTTTTCTCACTATAAGAACCAAAATGACATTAAAAATAGTCATCAAACGATGGCTATGAATAAACTTGTGTCTACACTCATTGTATCATTTTGTCTAATTTCAGTTTCCTATTGCTCTTCAGAAGAAGTAAGACAATTTATTCATTTATATTATGTTCTTTCAGACTATTTTTGGATCAAAATATTTTCAATTTATTTACTTATGAATCTAACAAATTAATAAATTTTTGCAGTGGTATACTCATGGAAAAGATATTAAAAACAGGAGATATGTTAAGGGAGGAGACATAAAGCCAAGTAGGGTGAGGTCAGGCCAGTTAGGACAAAGATGGAAATTCCTCGCCGGGTTCGATGTGTCGGCGACGCTGTCCGTGGCCGGCGGAGTCGTCTACTTCCCGGCGTGGAATGGAAATTTGTATGCAGTAAATGCCGGGAACGGAAAGCTGATTTGGATGAGGAACATAGGGCAGTTAACAGGGATACAGCCGACGGGACGGACTGTCAATGTCACGGTGTCGCGGGCAACTCCCGCCGTGGCCGGCAATCTATTGATCGTCGCAATTTATGGGCCGGCGGTTGTGATCGCCGTGACACGAGAAACAGGACGGCTTGTCTGGTCCACGTTGGTCGATCCTGGCCCGGCGAGCGTCGTGACCATGTCGGGGACTCCTTATAAGGGGTTAGTTCTAATGTTTGGAAATATTAAAATTTTAAATTTAAGTTTATATTTTTTTATATGATATGAACATGTTCTTAATACTCCCTCTGTGTAAGGGTTGCCTTTACCATTTGTCGTCATTGTACTTAATATTAAAAATATATTTATATTTTTATAATTTTTTATACAAATATCCGTCTATTAGTATTATAAGATACCGATTGAAGTATTTTTACAAATTTTTTTAATTTAAACTACGTTTTGATATAATAATTAATATTTAAATGAGATCTTTAGAGCCGGACGGAGGTAGTATAATATTAGATAGATTATATAATGCATTTGTGTTTTTAAGAAAGATATACAAAATATTTTGTATTTTATTTATTACGTAAAATCTCTTGTGCTAAAATTACGTATGCACAAAACACTATTTTGATCCAAAGTTGATACCTAGTTGAAAATGCACATTTATTTATAAGTTTTATATAAATAAAAATATAAGATATCTTAAATATATTATTTTTAATAAAATAAATAATTAAATAATTCATCAATTATTCATTTAATAATTTTTTTAAGACAAACTGTTATTTAATATTTACAGAAAAAGAAAAGAAACTATAAATTCTTAATATGACATTGCCTTTAGACATAAAATAGTTTAATCGAATTTTATAATCAAATTTTGGGATGCTTTGTTTTATTCTTTAGTATTGTGTCATTTATCGTAACTAACTGTTCAAATTGATGAAAAAATATATATTTTTTATTACCGGTGCTTGTTTAGACATACTTTTGATTTTTTTTTTTTTTGTCAAACTTTACTATTCAATATTTTATTTTATTATTTTTTTAAAAAAAGGCATCGAATTCAAATAATATTAAATTAAATAATTATTTTTACCTTCAAAATTTTATTTTATTTGATTCTTTTTCAAAGAGCATTTTACTGCGGAGTATCATCCTTAGAAGTCATAAGAACAGAGCAACCCTGTTGCACATTCCGTGAAAGTATGGTAAAAATGGACATAAAGACCGGAAAAATCCTCTGGCAGACATACACTCTACCCGACAACGGGGGCCGGCTAGGCGGCTATTCGGGCGCAACCATATGGGGTAGCAGCCCGTCCATCGACACAAAGCGAGACCTCGTCTTTGTAGGAACCGGACAACTCTACAACGCCCCGGCTGAAGTCCTCGAGTGCCAAACTAGGCAAAATAACCGGACTAGCCCGCCTAGCCAACCAGACGAGTGCATTGGGCCGGATATTCATTTCGATTCAATTATGGCACTCAAGATTGATACTGGGAAAATTGAGTGGGCTACAAGGCTTGAGCCTTACGATGTGTTCTATTTTGCTTGTTTGATTCCCGGCAACCTTGATTGTCCGCCTGGCCCAAACATAGATGCCGATTTTGGAGAAGCCCCAATGCTACTAACCATCCGGTCCAAGGGAAGACGCCGTGATATTGTTGTGGCCGTGCAAAAGAGCGGATTTG